AGATCAATATGAGATCAAAATGCGGTATGCGGCATTGTAAATTGCGTTCGGAATGGAGTAAATTGCCTTCGGAATAATTTTAAAGGGATTCAAGGCTGCTCATTATTTGACTGATTCTTAAAAACTAATAAAATCTATATAATCCAAAGCAATACTATGACTGTTGCCATGGAGATTAGAGAATACCCTCTTCGAAGGATTTCATTCCAAAAAAAACAAATCAAAAAAAGCCAAACCATTAAGCCATCAGATAAAATCGCTTGAATCCTAGGTAACATCCGGTGGCTACAGTCTTATAAAGAAGATAACCATGGGATTAGTGCAAAGCAGATGCGGGATAAATGGGCTTTCATCTTCTTTTCAACTATGATATATCTATCCATATATCCATCTATATCTCAAATCAACCAATGGAAAGACATCTCCCTATGCTAAGAGAGATTTAGACGGATATCCCTCTCTCTCGCCTTTTCCGAGCCACTACTACTATTACTACTACTCCTTGAAAATTTTTTTCAATCTGCAAAATCGCATGCTCTAACAAATAAATCCTCAATAAATGCCATGCAAAATGTATCGGTAAGCACATTTCATTCTGTTGTTTAACTCTCCATGCTGATTAGATATCCATATCTAAATGAGTACTTTCTACTGCTCAATGGACGTAAGCCTAGCAGCCTTATTTTTCAGACAGCGACTCGAAATCGATTCGCGTGTCGTCGAATGAAATGACATGAAATTGCCTCTAGAAACGGAAGTAATTATTCCTCTCGTGTCTACTCCCAAACCACTACTACTTTGCCCTCTACTTAATAGGCCAGTCAACTTCCGTTTCTACTCACTATCAGACTCTGAATTCAATAATTCTCCAAATCACTTCTATACTTTAAATCTCATTGCTCTCTCGGCTTAGTTTAATGCCTTAAGTTGATCGTATTTTTTTGCAGGATCGTTTGGTGATCGATCATGATCGATCGGGAATGCCGTAGGCTGACCCTACCGCCACAACGCAGCCAGCAAAAACAGTTGCCCAGCCGAGAGCTTTTTGCCGATTTCGACCCGTGGTCAATGCACACTACAGCTACTACTAGCCAAAAGAAGCCTTTACTGGCCTATCGCGGTCGAGATATCGTCAAGGAGAACAAACGACAACAGATTTGCTATCGGGCAAGAGCGAGTCCCGTTCGAGAGGTATGATCACATTAGAGTGTGTAAATGATCACAGATCAATCAAATCAATCAATCAATCAATAAGATGACATCAGAGATCTAATCAGACAGGGATCAGC